GAGTTTCCCTGGTGTTGGCCAGAGTGGCCACCAGGGAAACCTGGGTAGGGCTAGCCTCCCACTAGTTCGAATTAAGGGGCTACACAGCCCTTAATTCGAACTAAGCGCTCCGTTAGTTCGAATTAAATTCGAACTAACAGAGCGCTAGTGTAGCGCCTGTGAAAGTTAGTTCAAACTAACGTCTGTTAGTTCGAACTAACTTTGTAGTGTAGACATACCCTTAGCGATCCAGATCCTGTAGGTAGGTACTAAGCTCTGAAGCAACAGTGATTCACTTGCAGACTATCCCTTCTACAAGTGGTTTTCTAAACAAAAATTAATTATAATCAAGTCAAAAAGCATTGAATATTGTTCTGAGCTATTATCCTGAAGAGAGTTATAATGATGCCATTAAAAATAATATTGCTCGAATATTTTTCTGACTTGTGTATTTGCTTTTAATGCATCTGCTTACCTTAATTCTTTAGTTTTCTGAAAAATTTTGTGGGTGGAGGAAAAAGTTATCTAATTCCATATTAGATGTGCTCTATTTGCACAACAGCTCTACAAGTGTTTTCACAAACTAACCCATAGTAAAGAGTCTGCTGGCCAAATGATGGCCCTCAGTTAAACTATGTAACATGAGTATTCATTGAGATTGTATAGATACTTGATTCCCCCCTCTTTTGGGGGGCTTGGGGAGGTTTAAACCATAGCTGAATTGTTTTATGACCAAAACAAAAGGGAAAATTTTATTTTTGGGCAGAACAAAACCTCTCATTTGGTGCCAAATCTTTTTGATTTGGGGGGGGAGGGGGGTATTGTGATATTTTTAAAACTTCTAAATAAAATACAAAAATATTTCAAAATAAACAGTTTTCTGTTGTATTTATTTAGGTTCCACTCCTTCCTCCCCCCCCCCTTTTTTTCTTTTTCCCCTCAGCCATAACTATTAACTGAATTCACCCCTAACTTGGAGATTTGTTTCATTGCTTCTCTTGCCACACAAAATGCCTGGTGGGAAGGTGGCAGTTTACTATTTTTTTTTCTTTTGGCCCAGCTCTAGTCAACCTCATCAGTGACCGATAAAGTATAGATTGATTTTCAGGGCTCATGCTGAGTATAGACAAACTGAATTATTTACAAGTCTCCCTCTCACCTCTTTAGTTTTACAAACTCAGTAAGTTGCCACTCCATAAAAAGAGGATCAAAGTATAACCACATTAAATACAAAAATAACTCCACTGGTTATTTTTGTCTGTACTATTGACATGAAAAGCCAAGCATCGGGTACTTAGAATACTTACAGCCCACTCTGTTAGCCTCATTTAGCATGGACACTCTAATTGACAATATTTTTCTCCTTTTTTCCCTTTCTTTCCCTCCCCATCCCCCCCATGATTAATTTGAAGAAGTGGGGTGTGCCCACAAAAGCTCATGATACCATCTACATTTTTTTAGTCCTTTAAGGTGCTGTAGGACTATTCGCTGTTAAGTTTTTTAGCCGAGTTATGTCTAGTTTCTAGTCCCCCTTCCCATCCTGCCTGTTCCCGGGCTTCAAGGCTTCTGCATTTATCCCCCAAGGCAGCCGTTGTATTTAACAACAGTGGCAAATGAACAACCAGCCAGTGGGTGTATAAAAAGGATCATGCATCTTTTTAGCAGCAGACAAGCTAGAGTGGGGAGAGAAAAGAGGGCTTTTTAAGTCTTCCAAGAATTATACTAGCTTGCTTCTCTTGCTGTCTGAAAGTTTATAACTTGATCTGAATGTGACATAGTTGAGGAAGAAAAGTTTCCATGGAAAGTAAACTATCCACTCGTGGGTTTGATCCAGAGCATGGAGCTCAGCTTTCTCAAAAGCACTCTCCCCTGTCTCCAAAACTGCCAGTCTTATAGCCCTTCCCCAGAGCATCTGTGCAGGAGGAAGAATTGCAGAGGTAATTTTATATAAAGTATAAACTACATTAGCTCTTCCAAGTTACCTGAATATGGGGAAGAAACTACAGCTATTAAGGTCCAGATGCCTTTTTGCTTATGCATAACTAAAACTGTTTTGTTTTTAATTTCTAAATTGGTGCTTGTTTAATCGTGTGTGTGTGTGTGTGTGGAGCCTTGTGCATTTTGCTCTAGAAAGCTATGTAAGTTGAAAATTTATTTTGTACAGGGGCTTGCATATTTTCAATGGAAACTGTTATTTTCAGTAACTTAATGCACCTTGTGTCGTCATTTTTCAGATATAGATTAAAAAATCACTATTTCTAGCTTTTAATTTTATTTTGACACAAGTTATAAGAATCTTAAGAAATGCTAAAGTGAAGATTTCAACTAAAAACATCTTTAGGTGCCATGAGAGAGAAACTAATGTTACAGAAGCAATTCAGTTCCGTTTTTTAGATCTAAGCCATTAAGATCTAAAAATCTTAATGAGTTTCTATAGTGACCAGCTCTTGCAGAATGATCAGAGAAGACTGAATCAAGACCTTGGTAGAGTGTACTCTATTAAATTTAACTTTTTTTGAGGTTTTCCTACGTGTTCTTATAATTTAGAATCTTAAATTATATCTTGTCTGATGATGTTTGACTATTATCCAAGCCTATTTATTAATTATAATTTAAAAATTACTGCAGTTAGTAGCTATGTGTTTAATGTCTGCCCTTTCAATTGTTTTCTACCCGTATTTATGAAGAATTTGGTAGTCCTACTGATTTTTTTTTTTAAATCGGATATAATTTAAAACAATAATTGAACTTTCTTTTAGTCTTTCTCTGTATTTATGAAGAATTTGGTAGTCGTACTGATTTTTTTTTTTTAATCAGGTATAATTTAAAACAATAATTGAACTTTCTTTTAGTCTTTCTCATTAGAGTTCCACTTCGAGTCCAATGACTACTTTACTAATTCAGTGCTGACAAAAACCTACAAGATGAAGTCAGAGCCAGACAAGACCGATCCTTTTTCATTTGAAGGCCCTGAAATAGTTGATTG